AGCGACGAGAACAGCGGACCTACCGGCGGCAGGCCGCCGAGGGGCCATCGCCGACCCGCGAGATACGACAACACAGGCGAAAGTGGTGCTGCCTGTGGTCATGGGTTGGGTCATGGGTTGCAGCAGTCTGCTGCCGCCGTTGATGATGACAACGGCCGCGGCCGCGACCCTCTCCCGAGCCACGCCTCTCGCCGGCTGCGCGTGGCCGCCCCCGCCGCTGCCGTAGAAGCGGAGGGTTCGCGATGCCCCCTTACGATGCTGTCGCAAGCTGCCGGGGTCGCCGGGTTTGCTACCACGACAACCACCGCAGCAGCCATCGCCCGCATCACGGAAAGCGGGTTCATCTCCAGGCTGCGACGCTTTCGCCGCCTTTGCTCCGCGAAATCTGCAGATCCACAGCGCTTTCCGTGACCATCCATGGTCTACAAGCTTACAGGCGACACAAGCAAGCCACCTGGGGACTGTCCCCGAGATCTGGAGTGCGAGAGGGTGCTCAGCGTGCTGGCGACTGCAGTGCAACTCGAGTGCTCCCATTTCGGAGTCATTTCGGAGTTTCTCTTCGGGAAATGCCGAAAATGAAGCGGCGCCCGAAAAATTCCGACGCTTCATTTTCAGCATTTTCCGACAAGAAATCGGCATTTTCCGAAAAAGTAGGGCGCATGTCGGCATATTCCAACAGAACAAATCTCGTTAAGAACCCTCCTTAATGCCGACATTTCCAACCCACCCTGAGGTAAAGTATTCCAACCTCACGAGTGAAACTTGCAGCGATCACAAAACGTTGAAGCTGAGATAGCGTTTGGCATAGTCGAGCCCTGTGTGCACCTGCTGAAGACTTAATAAAACGCGAGAATGTTGGAATCGGCGACAAGTTTCCCTCCCGCTCTTGCAGGGGGACCTCGGGGGAACGAGCCACTTTGGGCGTGGAAATTCAGGCTGCAGTCGAGGTTGGCCGACCAGAAACGCGCCGGGCAGGAACGCGCCGAGCAGAGTCGGGCCGAGGAACACGCGATTGGAGCGGGGCGGAACCAATGTCGCTCCCGATGGACGCAGTTCCTCGTCGGGGAAGGGAGATGCGGAGCACGTGTTTCGGGTGCAGGTTGCTTCCTTTGCAAAGTTAGATAGCCTCGAGAGAGAATCACGAAAATCTGCAGGAGGTGAAACGGCTCATCAGAAAACCGGCCAATAGTTGTCCCCGCGGTGCTGAATCAACCGACACAGACAAGCTGCGCGAGCTCGACCGGCTGGTAGTAATGGCCAAGGCTCTTGACGAAGTGGCGGTGAGTGCTGCAATGAGTGTTTTTCTCTTGGGTCGTAGTTAGAACTAGAGGCTTCACCGCTCCTTGGGAAAGAATGTGTCTGTCATGATCACTGTTCTGTCGGAAGCTCCGAACCACGCACTTTTTTAGTCGAACCGCCGAGGCGCGAAAAATCATCCCATCGACCGCCTTGCACTACTTGCCACGGCCCAGCAAGTTTGAGTGTAATAGGTGACTCATCGTAAACGTTTGGCTGTATCGGTGTTCGTTGTCTCAACCTCGAACCAAGCCGGTTCTCCCGACACCAACTTGCTCCGATCTCGTTCAAGTTATGCGAAAATCTTGCCTACCCGCCATCAAACTGAAGCCCCGTCCCATGTACCTCTTCGAGTACCTCTTTGAGGGTACTTCTCTTGATCGTGGGGAAGAGCTTTTGTGACACTGTCCAGCCGAAGGCCGTATTGTGTATTACGCACCGCACAAGATAAGCAGTTTCCAATTTGTTGGTGACCTTTCTGCGTGTCCCCGATGGTCTACTTCGACGTGGCGCAAATTTTTGCTTTGTTACTCGACTGCGCAGTCGAGACATGTGGAACACAAGAGCATGCAGCAGAAGGAGCTGACCTTACCGCCGGGTTCCAAGGCATACTTGACCTTGGTTCGAACCGGTCTGTGTAACGCATATCTCGCTGCAAGCTTCGTCGGCAGTAGCTTGGTCCGTACAAGCAAGTCCGGTGGTATGGGCATGGTGAGTGCTGAGGTTTGACCCAAGTGTTGGGTGTTCGTTGAGCGCTGTCCCTGCAGTGTTCTCTGTGCGATGCTCTTGGTGCCCGTGCGCCATATCGAAGCCCGACGTGCTGGTTGCCCTCTTGCAGGCTGGAGAGGCAATGCAATTGCTCTCTCACGCGGTTCCCGTTGTCGGTGGACTTGCGAGCTTCGCAGCCGCAGCTTTGAAGGCCGGGGACCACCGCATGCAAACTCGACGAGTGATCAAGTTGAGCAGATTTTCATGGCTGTGGGGTGTAGGGAAGCTGGGCGTCGTTGCTAAATACTGTAGTCTATGCGTCCAGTGTAGCATTTCCACCCGTCGACTTCCGTTCACAGTCGGCCCACCGGCCTCAACCAACTTTTTGATGATTGGCAGATCACCGACCTGGCAGCTGATGTGGTTGAGTGTTGTTCGCTGGCGAGGAGATTGGCCCTACCAATGACGGACGGTCTTGCCGCCGGCACCACCTCCACGACCGAGAACTCGGTCGGTAAGAATGATGTCCGTACGTGCCACTGGGTTATACGGCTGGCACGTCCCTTGGTGGGCAGCACCGTCGCTCGCAAGATGGTATGATGTAGAATCCACAGCCACCCATTCACATTCTGGTGGTGTGTGTACGCAGAAATCTGCGAGTTTTATTCAGCCGAGGTGGAGTACACGTTGCCCGGTGACTGGGTGGGATACCCCCAAACTCTGTTCCTGCACACACGAAGCAGATCCATACAAGTAGCAGTCGGGTAGTTGGAAGGAAGTTGATCCCAATTTCATTGTTGGGAAACAGACAAAAGTGGGTATTCCGACCCCTTTCTCCGACCCCTTTCTCAGGCAAACGTGGGTACTCGAAAATGTGCTTTGCGGAGACTACTGGTGACAGGGCACGACCATTCAAAAGAATAACTCCGATGCATGGAAAACATGTGCAGAGCCCATGCACAGCATGAAAATCAACGTTCACGGACTTTCGGCCACGTCTTCACCCTATACACCGCCGCGGCGCACAAGGCCTCAACAGGGTTGCCCGATCTTGTCCGAAATTCCGGTGGATACTCCCACCGAGATCTACAATTTCCACGTATGCATACCCACCTTGGTCTGCTGTGTGATCCACGTTTGCCCGAAATGTACCCGCTCTCGTCCGAATGTGTACCCACTTTTGTCCGTTTTTTTTATCCGAAAATCGACCTCCACGTCACCGCACGGGGGAACTTTTCGCATGGAAAGTTGTTTTTTTGACAAGAGCGGGTACATTTCGGACAAAGGGGGGTCACACAGCAACCAGGGTGGGTATGCATACATGAAAAAAATAATAGGTTTTGGTGGGAATATCCACCGGAATTTCGGACAGAATCGGGCAAGCTGTTGAGGCCTTGTGCGCCGCGGCGGTGGTGTAGGGTGAAGACGTGCCCGAAAGTCCGCAAGCGTTGATGTTCGTGCTGTGCATGGGCTTTGCTTTTTTTACTTCGCTTGAATTTTACTTCGAGTGGTTGTGCCATGTCACCAGTAGTCTCCGGAAAGCAAATTTTCGTGTACGTATCTGTCATTTTCCCTTTATTGTTTGTCGTTCAGGGTACCGTACACATGCCGTTACGTGGGACATCTCAAACCCACCGGAGAGGTAGCATTGGCGCAACACCTAAACCATAGACGACCGTAGTCCACAAACCGTTGCTGTGATCCGTGTCCCAGGAGGGCGCGGTTGGAATCTGGGCATCGGTACGATGCCAGACGGTACGAGCGAGGAAGCCCTCATGGAATGGTTCACGGAAGAGGTCGCGAACCACGAGGCCAACACCACCGCAAGCAGAGGGACCCCCGCAGAACAGGTAGGGAGGAAGGAAATTGGCGCTTCGGCATTCCGTGGCACCCAATCTTGCACAAGTTTGTTCATTAAATACTTTTGCGTGGGTAATGTCGGCACAACATGCATACCGTACTTTTGTATGGTCACCGGTCTTGACAGGCTGGGAGGCCGCTCGGGAACAGCACCTCAAGAAGCTACTGATGGCAGTGGGACAAGACCGCCTCCAAGGCACGAACACTACAGAAGAGGTGAGAGGCTGCTGTATGCACAAACCCACCGGACGCGCTTGTTTTGCGTCTCGCCGTGGTTCTCTCAGATGCCGCAGGCTTTCTGGCCGCGCGACCCAGGTTCAGACTTTGATCCAGGCCTGCAACGACTGTGTCTCTTACCCTCGGAGACTGCACCCTCCAGGTGAAAATGGGTGGCATGCGAGTGGCACTCTCTTCGACGGAGAATTTTCATCGATTGCCCTCTCGTTTGCTTAAGCACTTGCTTTGGACACACGGTGATCTGAATAGGTCGAGAAGCTGCTGGAGGTCATCGCCGGCGGGTCCAGCAGTAGGGTCACTGAAACCCCCGTGCGGAAGACAAATCGTTGGTGGAGTATCCTGCGGTACCAGCTNGATGCCGCAGGCTTTCTGGCCGCGCGACCCAGGTTCAGACTTTGATCCAGGCCTGCAACGACTGTGTCTCTTACCCTCGGAGACTGCACCCTCCAGGTGAAAATGGGTGGCATGCGAGTGGCACTCTCTTCGACGGAGAATTTTCATCGATTGCCCTCTCGTTTGCTTAAGCACTTGCTTTGGACACACGGTGATCTGAATAGGTCGAGAAGCTGCTGGAGGTCATCGCCGGCGGGTCCAGCAGTAGGGTCACTGAAACCCCCGTGCGGAAGACAAATCGTTGGTGGAGTATCCTGCGGTACCAGCTCCATCCCACGACGGCGGCTTGGATCGGGACGCGGAGTTTGCCACTCTCAAAGCAAAATTGGAAGCACTAGAGCTCGCCGATGAGAGGCGGCAAGCAAAATTGGAAGCACTAGAGGTCGCTGAAGAGAGGCGGCAAGCAGCGTTTGAGGAATTGCAGTCTGACAACAAGCAGCTTTTGGCCGAGGTAAGCCGAAGTCTTGATTGCTTGCATTGCTGCGTACGTGGGGAAGCGAATATCGGGATTGGCCGTGACGAAAGTACGAAAGTATTTGGTTTTGTTTGAAAAAGTGAAGGCATGTCGTCTTTGTTCTCCGCGGTCAAGTTTACCACTTATTTCTTGTACCGTCTCCGGCTAGGTGGACACCATGAAGAAACTCATTCCAAAGCCTTGAGGGGGGGCAAGCGGCTGCTTGGATGCCGGTGAGGCCATCTATTTTTGCTGCACGGCCATCATCGCGAGAACTTCACGTGTACAGAGCAGAGTGGCAATCCCATGTTTCCTCGCTCTCTGTGGTGTCTACATAGTCGGTGGGCTCAGCTTGGTATTCTTGACAACCGTGTGGGGCTTTCCCATGAATTACAGATTGTATCGTGGCAACCAAACGCCTTGGGGGTGCCCACTAGACGTGACAGCTCGGCTTCGCGCGACGTTCTCGATTGTTTGCCATACTCGATTGTTTTTTTTTCTCGCATCTGCCCAATGACGACCCCTTTCATCAGGAGGACAGGTTTTTGCTCAAGAGCAGGAGATCAAGACCAAGGAGGACTTTTGGCAGGAGGCGCAGAAAACAGGTGTGCCCAAGAATATATTTTGGCTGATGAAGATAGACGGAACCGTTTATTTTATTTCATGTCGCCCAGATACCTACTGTGCGCCACGAAGTGTTCAAGTGTTGGGCTGTCGCGTCTTTTCTGCAAGATATCGCTTGCGATTCCTGCCAGATATCGGTTAAGGCCCCAAGTATATAACTGAGTATTGACGTTCAGCAGATGTATACATACCAATACGTCTTCGCTGCTTGCTCCAATAATCGTTTTTGTCCTATATTTTCGCTTTAGAATGTGGCTCAGCCTACGATGTTGAAGCACAAGCAGTACCAGCGACAAACTCGGCCGACGCACCGGTCATGAATGCGCGAAAAGTACACTCCAATCGCATTTAGGGCCAAGTGGTGATAATGATCCAAGCCACGTGCCCACTTAAGCTCTGGCGTCCCCACTTAAGCTCTGGCGTCCCCACTTAAGCTCTGGCGGCATCGCGGTCGTGCCAATAAAAGTTTTACGGCAGCTCGATGGCCGCGGTTTCTTTGCGCTGGCACTCACTGAATTTCACATGCCGTGCTTGATTCCTCGGTGTTATCTAAAGGCCAGGCCACATCTCTCTATTTATGCCTCGGGTCTCGATCGGAAAAGAGCACAGACCTTCTCGGCTGTTTGCCATGTCTTCGTTCGGGTTCGTTCGATTGGATCCGACGGCGTTGTTTTTCCTTTCATGCGGAACTTGAACGTCGCAATACTAAATCATGATTCGAAGAACTCATGCTGTAAAAGCAACCCACATTTGCTGCGTCCTCTGGAGGTTTCCCAGACATGTACCTGTTGCGTTCAGGAGCGCTCCGGACAGAAGGAAGGTTATTTTTATTATTTCATCGTTTATCTACAAACGGCTTTGGTTTATCAATGTCGTCTCCTCTGGCGTCGACATACCGTAGTATCCTTGCCGTAGAACCCCTACATGGTCGCAGCCCCCGACCCCCCAAATCACCGCCGGGGTACACAAAAACTTCGTAGCACCGGGGTTCCCGTTTTTTTCCCGTTGTCTTGATTGTCGCCCCTCTACGTTTGCGTTAGCCCCGGGTTGTTTGGTTTCAACACAATGAAAAGATTGCCCCCCGGGCTACGACAAAGGATCTTACGGTATCTTGGACTGAACGCCACAAATTGTAACGGACTGATACTGTGTCGAGAACTAATAGGAGGAGTCGTGACCAGCTGCACGGTTCTTCACACCGTTCCGACTCTTTGTTCCTGTCTTGTTTTTGCCCGGTTGCTGGTGCTGTCTCTACCAGCGGCGGCGGCGACGGACCACCAGCCGGTGACCCACGACCAGCTGAAAGAGTTCGCGGCGCTGCAGGGCGAAAGGCATCGCGATCATGACGATAGGCTTCGCGAACATGATGCCACCCACAGCCGGCATCAGAGGGCACTAGGCGCAAAGAAGAGCAAGCGAACATGTGAGTTGGCTCGGTCGACGGGTTCTTGGAGGCATTAACGCGTGTGGCCCGTGGCCCTCGCTCGTTTCCATTCCGTGCGCATTTGATTGCTAGATAAAGCTATTCAGAATGGTGGGCTAGGATCTCCTTGAAAGCTACCAAGGCGAGGCTAGGAAACAAGAACCGTACGGGCACCTTCAGAATGGTGGGCTAGGATCTCCTTGAAAGCTACCAAGGCGAGGCTAGGAAACAAGAACCGTACGGGCACCTGTAGGCGACCAACCTTGCGCGTTTTGTACATCAAAAATGAACCCGAGGGACATTCTTAACGGTGCGTGTTTAGATTGTTTGATGACTGTGTGTACTTTCAAGTTTTGGTTTCGCTTATTTTCGAATCTCGTTTGGCAACGCCACCAAGTAGGGCTGGTTCTTCGTCCCACAGTGAGAGATTTGATTCTTGACCCGGAAAGGACTTTTCCTATCTGTTAAATCTTGCGTGCTCAGAAGTCTGGCGGAGTAAATCGAACGTATGGTTTATAAATCGAACGTATGGTTTCGTGCAAGTCGGCCGTCATGAGTTGTAGGCAAACACAACAAGCGGACGCTTTCCCGAGGTCTCGCGCGCAGACTAGTTGCTATGTTTCCTCCTCTGCGCCGCTCGACAACCCCTCTTTCCTCGTCCTGCACAAACAGCTTACCCCCGTGCACAGCTCATTTTGCATCACCTGTTCTCGTGCCGGTCACCGGTGTTGTCTTCGATATTCGACAACGGGACGAAAACAAGCCGCAAATGCGCTGCCGGGCGCTACCCGCTACCCCGCTGTGTTGCCGGGATTTCGTAATTCATCGCAGGGCGCAGATGACCCTCCACGACGAGTACGGTCGACGATCAAGCTATGGCCACCAAACACCACTCTGTGCGCCTGCCGATTCGGGTCCAATCGCGATGTGCTTCAGCTGTGCGCAGTACGCGTGATTGGAAACGCTTTTTTTCCTTCCGACTAGTTTGCGGTAGGGANTGGGAGTGTGTGTCACAAATGGCCAGGTAGAAAATAACAGTACACCCCAACCTGGCTCTAGGGGTGCGTACATGCGTGCGTGCGTGCGGTATATCTTTGTGTTGCGTGCGATTAACGTTCGTGTCGCGGTTGGCGATCTTCTGTTTTCATGTTTGCTCCCAATTGTTGCTTCTATTGTTTTTTCTTGTAGTTTTCACATTTTTCGCTGACCTTGCATTGGAGAGCAATCGGCCCGGCCTTTCGATTTTTGTTGCTGTTTCTGTTTTTCTGTGTTATTCTTGAAATCGTTTTCCGCGTCGTCCTTGTTTGTTTTTTTTATACTTTTCTTAATATGACACAACGAGTCCATCTCTATCATAGAAAAGAGTCAGAGACAGATTAACAATGGAATCATAGCGTCAGAGAAAACTACCTGTGTGTCTACGATTTCCCAGACAGCATATAGGGACATCTCCCCTGTGGGTAACAGGCTCGTTTTTGTGTCGTTGTTTGGATTCCTTCCGCATTTTTTTTCCTTGTTTGGCGTCAGAGGCTGTGGAGAAAGTTTGACTCAAGACCTTGTTATTATGGAGTGAACAGCAGGGCAAGCAAGCCCTGCACACATGAAGAGGGTCCGCCCTTCCAGTAACGTATACCAATCTTACGTGGCGAAGAAGGTAAAGACCCTACCCGCCGAGCACAGAATGGGTGATTCTGCAACGTGACGTTGACTCCTCCGCAGTAAGCTCGGCCAATCACAAGCGAGATTCTGTTCACATGGACAGTCCAGCGAAGAATGTCCGGGATGCAGGCGGGAAGTGCCAAATTAGGGCGTACTCTGCGGTGGTGGAACGCTCGAGGCGTGCGACCGCACAGCCTCGCGACGGGTAGATGGTGGTGGAAAGACTTTCCTGGCGGATACTGCCACGAGGAGACGTCAATTGGGGTTCTTGTGCGGGCTACGCGAAGGGTGGATGGTAACGTCTTGAATTGAGGGGGAGTCTAATCCCTCCGCTTCGCTGTGAGCGCTCCGATTCTGCGCTCTCAGCGCCGGAGAGCTGAAGCATACATAACTATCTACACGTCTATGTAGAAGAGGGCGAGTTCAGAAGATATTATTTGATGAGTAGTTTTGTCTGACCCTGGAACAACGAAAATGTTTAGCTTTTCGTAGAATGCGTAGTCTAGATGTTAGAGTGCACCATGTACACAGTGTGGCACGCAACACAGGCAGTATCACACCAGGGATGTCTCGCATCTACCCCCCCCAGATATGTTTCAGGAGCCTCCCCCGCCCTACACGGATGAGTACACCCGCCCCCGCAACCCCCCACCCCGACCAAATGTTTGGTTTGCTGGGGTGCCCGATCAATCCATGGCGTATATCTGGTTTGGTACAGCAAACGCGAGGATGATAGACAGCTTCTGGTTGATTCTTGTGAAACGTCGCCTCGGCCGGCGAACCCCCGCCATATCGCTGCGTCCCGGCATGGTGGGGATGCGAGGTCAATGGCCTATCGACCCCGGCATGCGTACACTAACCTCCGTCCTCGCCACGGATCTGAAACTGCCGGTGGGGTCTTCGGTCATCCCCGAGTTCATGCGTTCTTGACTTGCAGCCGCCACGTTTCGGGGCTCTGTGTTCTCTTTTGTATGCGCTTTGGGCTTTGGTACACCACAAATTTATGTGCGGGGTATTTTTCCCAGACCACATCGGAACTGAGCACGTGTGCGCGGCCAAGTTCTCAGATTGTGAACTGAATTTTTTCGAGGCCGCATATTTTTCTTGAACAAGTGTGCACATGATTTTTGTCGGCGTTGCTCGGGTCGTTCTTGGCGCGTAATCGCCAACCAACGGGGGTAATTCCTCAACAAACCGCCGTCTGTCTCATCGCGAAAATCTGATAAATTGCGTGTGTTGCGATTTCGCCTTACTAATTCTGTGCGCCAGTCTACACCCACCGATACACATATATACTTCGAACTATATTTTTTTTCTCCCATTTTTGGACTCTGTCGTCTGCCCCTCTGGCCCCCATCCTCCACTTCTACTAGCTAGACGACCCAACCGGGGTCACATGGGAGGGGGGGGCTGGACCCCCTCCTGGGTTCATGCCTGAGATATTTTTATCGCGAGATGGGTATCCCTTCCCCCGCGACTTGTGGAGTCGATCGAGTTTAGTTACAACTAGCTTTGCAGCGCGTAGCTTCTAACTTAGACCAGGATTTATGTGGTGAGAAAAAAAACTCGACCTGCCGGGGCTCGAACCCATGACCTGGCCCTTAGTGGGCTGCAAGGTCCACTAGACCACCGGGGTGACCGGGTATAAGTGTGTCGTTGACTAACTCGACGGGGGTCAGAACGTATGGTGTGCTCGCGATATTCGAGGTGAGGTTGGACCCAATAATATCTTACCGGCTGTGAGAGGGCCTGCTCGTTGGTTGACTTCCGTCGCGTGACTTCAGCTTGGGACTCAATGCACCTTCGCGAATCACACGTCGAAAGCATTGAATCAGAATCCGCATCGGTGCGCCATTAATTGTTCCATCATTTCCTATGTAGTCGCCCTCTCATTCCTTAACAACCCAATCCTCATCGCCGGCTCCCTCGCTACGACGTGCTAGGTAAACCACGACACCCGTGTCGCTTATCGTCGACCACGTCCGCCGCCCCCGCCCCTACCACCGCCTCCGCCTCTTCCCCTCCCCTCCCCTCTCCCACCAACACGCCGACCACCACCTCGCCCCTGCCCCGTGCCTCTGCCGCCACCCCGGCCCCCCCTCATACCCCCCCTATTACTTCTATCTCGTCCACCGCGCCCCCCTCCGTTCCTTGAGGCGCCAGGGCCAGGTTTGCCTATGCCCCCCATTCGCATGCGCTTGGTCCCTCCTCGGAGCTTGGCCAACTCCTCCACCTTTCTTCGCTTCTGGATCTGCCAAGAAGTTGGTTCGGATGGACGGCGAGGCGGCTGGGCAAGATAGGCACATGTGGTGATCAGAAAGTTGGCCTTGTGGGTCCAGTCTTGACATACAAGCCAGAGAGGTGAAAGATGCCGATGACTCGCAGCGAGTTCGAGCACTGGAACAGAGAGGCATTCATACGTCCAATTTACCTCACCCAGAATGTGGCGCCGACTGCTCTCCGCAACCACACAGTTATCGTCCTATTGAAGATCTTGGCATGTTCCGCTCTCTTTCTGTCGTCAGTCACGATCGTCCTTCTATTGCACCACGCTCAACAAGACAAAGCGAGCATCGATGTGGGCACGCGCACATCTCCACAACTCGTGAACAGTTAGGCGTCTAAAAGAGGAAGTTCGTGTATACATCAGGCGGCGCACGCTGTTTGTTGAACCGGTCGAACTTGCAACAGGCGTTTTATTTTGTTGCATCGTAGGGTATCAGATCTGGAGGACCTCGTTGGAGTGGTCACTTTCACGGAGAGCTAATACAAGTCGTCAAACTCGCGTCTAAAATGTCAAACATCCATGTAGGCACGCACACAACTTCACAAGGTAGTGGCAAAAACGTCAAATTTGCCAAAGGCGTTTATGTTCCTGTGTGTCGGGGGTATCACATATGGAGCAACCCTATGGAGCGGTCGTTTCTCTCGGAGAGGTAACGACAACTTCGCGTCTTCAACCCTCGAACTCTGTCCTGTGATAGCTCACCTTCCCGGCTTCTGTGCGTTCCCTTCGCTGCTCTCCCGCCGCAACCGGATCCGTGGCCTTCTCCACCGCACGCTGCCGCTTTCGCGCCACCCGCTCCCGAGAGATCTCCATGTTGACCCCCGTCAAGGCCTCTAGGAAGCGGCCGCTGCCAACCTTCTCCTCCAGGAGTTCCATCACCTTGGGGAGGGGTGGTGTACTTTCATGTTTCGCATGCCTTCGCGGTTGGATTGACCACGCGTCGTCGAGAGGACGAAACGGGAGGCAGCGGCGGATCGGCCAAACGGGAGAAATCACACGTTGAAGGGGGAAACAAATATATATATATATATCGTCGCTTGTAACACCCGGCAGTGACAATGCAAATATAGCTGCATCTTTCGAAAGACGCTCTGGTGATCGGATAGTGGCAAAGCAACAGCTGCCTGCCCCTTCTGACAACCACACTCTGGTACCTCCTCCTTTGCGCGCCACTCTCCACTCACCTCCGTCGCTAGCTCCGCAGCAGTTTGTTCCTTCTCAGCAGCTGTGCCCCCTCCCCCGCCACCGCTACCGCCGGCATGAGACCCCCCAGCCTTGTGCTCCACCCCGCCCGCCTCGGCGTCTAACACCGCTCTCCGCAGCGGCAGAAGCATGAGCTTCAGGTGGGCCACGGGAACGGCGGGCTCGTGGACGGCCACCATCGCCAGGAACCAGCTGAACACCGCCCGCCTCCGTGCCTCTCCTTTATGCACCACCATATGGGACATGCGGTTGAACACCCATCTCAACGGGTCGGCGGCACCGGGTGCGGTAGCCTTACCGCCACCGGCAGGAGAAGAATCGGCAGAATCGGCAGCGGCGGCGGCGGCCGCATCTCCGCCGTCATCATCAAAACCCTCGCTGTCGCTTGATTCGTCCATCGCCGGGCTTTCCGTCTCAGAGGCGTTTTCTTCTTGTTTGACGGCATCCTCAGCGAAGCATAGCTCCGGGTTGAGATGCATCGCACGGCCGAGAAACACCAGGTTCTTGACGCACTGCTCCGTCAGTTTCGGGTCCACCTGTGCATGGTTGGGAGTTGAGAGATGAAAAGGAATCGACCGAGAGGAAATTTCCTCCTGAACAACTCTAGATATTGGCATCCCTTGATAAAACGAAGCAAAAAAAGAGTTGGGGATTTTTGTATTTATTTTCACTTCAAATCAGCGCTCACAGCACTAGTGCCGTTACTCCAACCCGTGGTCACACAGAAGGGCCCCTTTCTACCCTCCCTTCCTGCGGTACGTTGCCTACGATTTTAATGCGAGAAGAGTTCAGCACTCTCTTCCCTCTGTGCACACAAGAACTATTAGCACTATCCACTTGGCCAGGAGCGGAAGCGAGAGAAAAACTCAATTCACAAGAAAAGCTCGCGTAAGCCGGGATTCGAATCCCTGACCTGCCCTCTAGGAGGGTTCGAGAGAGGACACCAACTAGACCACCGGAACGACCGGGTGCTGAGAGATGAAAATAGCAACCGAGAGGAATTTCCTTCCCCCTAAATACTACTGCTTACGTCCTTTGCGCACGACGACTCTATTTTGAGAATATAGGAGAACTTTGAGCATCACGCGAATGGTCCACGCCAGACCATCCCCTCTGAAACGCTCCGGGTCAAAATCATCTCAAATGGGATGTGTTATCTCTCTGCCCCCTCTCTCTCCTCGAGCTCCAAATGTACTTTCTCAAAAGTGTTGTAGATATAGGCGACTACTTCCATAAGCACCCCCAGCGTCTGCTCGACCAAACGCAGACACAAACTCGGCAAACACCGGGTGTAGCGGGGGAGGGGGGGGGGGGGGGGGNGGGGGGGGGGGGGGGGGGGGGGGGGGGGGGGGGGGGGGGGGGGGGGGGGGGGGGCAGCAAGATACATCTTAGCGCAAACATACATGCCTACGATAACGAAGCGTCCACGCCCTCCCCCTCGCAACATCAGCAGCACTCTCATCTACTGCCTCCCTATGGCGCGCACCTGCGACCTGTTGAGCTGAGAGCACAGGTTCTGGCACAGGAGGAACAGGACACGTCTCCTTCGAAGGAAGTCCTGCCCCCCGTCGTCTACCCCAGCTCGCTCGCCGGCAACATCACCCCGCCGCTGGCCCCGGCCTTTCCCTTTCAACTTCCCGGGTGTTGAGCCACCTTGGACTTGCTTCAGTGTCTGGCGTCTCTCTACTTGGCCACCACCACCGCCATTGCCACTGCCACTGCCGCCACCGCTACCGCCACCGCCGCTACCGCCGGCGGTTACGGTCAGGGTCTCTGGATCCCTCTTCGAGAAGAACGATCCCCAAACGCGGGCGGCCGCGAGGCGCACCCAGGCATGCGGGTACAGCAACGCCTCCAGTAGCCGATCGAACAGCCCATCACCTTCATTGCCGCCACCTCCGCCACCGCCGCCACCACCGCCGCTGAGGTAGAAGAAGCTGGAGAGCTGGTCGAGGTTGGGCTCCGGGAGCCGTCGAAGGAGCTGGGAGCACAGGTTGAGGGCCGCGAGGCGCCCCTCGGCGTGCTCGTAAGAGACCCCGCTGACGATCTGCTTGGTCGGGACAAATTGGAACAGGGGGAGGGGGGGGGACTCATGTTTTGGATGCCTAAGGAGCTAAAATAAGTTGTGTCCCCCAAAACGAGGGAAACACTGTACGTACGCATACATACGCCGGTGCATCTTATTATTGAGCGGTACACAGGTATTCCATTCTTGAGATCTAAAACTCGTACCCCCAGGAGCGAGTGCCCCGTGCCGTATACCTCGTTAGCAGCGGGACGAACGGATCCGCCATGGCCCGCACCACCTCCCCTCTCCTATCCATCGCCGCCGCCCGTCCGCCAGCCCCCCTTGCCATCGCCGCCGCCTTCAGCCTCGAGTGCAGCAGCCCCATCACCAGCGCCACCGCCCCGAGTGCCGCGGGGTCGCCCAGGCCCACCCCCCTCACCCGCGACGATGACGGTGATGATGCGGCGGAATCCCCCACGGTCGGACGTTAGCGGCCGGCGGCGCGGCCGTCGTGACGGTCACGCCCGGTGTGCTTGAGAGCGCTAGCACCGTCCAAGACTTGTACCGACTCCCACTCTCGCCGACGCTTCTTGCCGGCGGCAGCGAGGCGGGAGTGACCCTTCAGGTTACCCTCGGAGGCCATCCACTTCCATTATTTTTGTTTTTTCGATGAGGGGAGACGGGAAGGGAAGGAAGTAGGTGAGATCGGGGGGGGGGGCATATTTTCTATGACCTGGCGAGTAAGGGAGGGTGGACCTTGGGAGGGGGGAGGGGGTGAACTGCGGGCCGTTTGCTGAGAGTACATATGCGTAGGCGAGGACATATCCACCAGTTCCAGGCCGGGGGCTGTGGGCGCTCTGATTTCAAAGCGAGGTTGAGGAGGGCTCGTCAACACTGACTGCTATGATTGTACCAAGACTTAGGAGGATTCATCAAGACCAACACTGACTGCTGTGATACCAAAAGATAGGACGATTCGTCAACACTGACTGGTGTGATACCAAGAGCTAGGACGTTAATCAACTCTCACTACCCTAATACCCAGCCAAAAATCGAGGCGAAGGATCAAACAAAACAAGCGCCGAGCGGGGCAAGCACACGACTTCGGGTGAAGGAGCGGGGGGCCGGCAGAAAATAAAATCTACCCACATACCTGCCGGGCGGAGGATGAAGCCCCGCCGCCAGCGGAGCTCCCTGTGGCCTTCTTTCTCGCGGCTGTCGACCCCTCCGCACCACATTCGCTGTCGCTGCTGTCTTCACCGTCTCCCTCTTCCACCTCGTCGTCGTCCTCCTCGTCCGATGTCTGTCTCCAAAGGTTCCCCGATTAAATGAAAAAAGAAGATTGACAGCCGACGGAATAACAAGGGGGGGGGGGCAGCGTACAGCAAGGATAAAATCGAAGCAAGCTTGACAAAGCTAAAAAGAATAAATAACAGCAGCAGCAGGGAGTAACACTTACGAACACGTCCCACTCCAAGGATACCGATGTATTTGAGGGCACCTTTCGCCGCAAAGGCAACTATGTTATTAGAAAACAAGCAATGAGTGTCCTTTAAGCGGGTACGGTGTTTGCAGGTGTATGTACCAAGGGCAACGGTGGTGATGGAGATAAGCATATGCTCGGGACGTCTCTAGGGTGATGACGTCACCAGGGTGACGACGTCACTTGGGTAATGAGGTCACCTGGGGGAGAAGGAACGGCGCCACGGTCGCGTGAACGTAGAGGAGCATCTCCGACCTCGTCGCACTGGGGTTGACAGCCAGGCCCATCCCGATCCTCGCGAGGGCCTCGTTAGCCTTACCCTCCGACCTGAAACGAGGACGCCCGCAAGCAAAAGAAGGCCGTGAGCGATCGGTCCAAGAAATGGGTGATAGATGGATGCACGCCGCAGAAAACGAGCGGCTTCGTAGGTACATACAAAGACTTCACAACAAGGGACCTTGATTCTCCCCGTTGGCACTGACGTCTTTTCATTGGTCGGCAGGTTTTGTAGCTCGGTCGATGCTAACATTAAAAAACACACACCTGGCGTTCTCGCACCCCTCCAGGAGGGAAAGCACGGGGCCCACCAGGGCGTGCACCGACGACACCGAAGCCGCGTCCTCCGGCGCTAGCACGGTGAATGTCGGCCGGAAGAGCAAGGTCCTCGCCGTGATCTCGAACGAGTCGTAGGCCTTCTGCCCCTTAGCCTCCTTCAATGTTTGGCCTACGGTCGGACGAAACGTTCACGAGAAGAACAAACTAAACCAGTCGTGCAGGTTGTTCTCGGTCAAAATTTCCCCACGAGATGGGACCGAAGTCGCACTTCGAGGTCACCCCGCAGACTCACGTGCGCAGTACAAGGACGTTCTAGAAAGTTCACATGCAGAACTTCATTCATAGGTGTACCTGTTTCAGCTGGCGTCAGTGCTTTCCCAGCGTAAAAGGCTTTTTTAGTCTAGACCACGCCGTTTTGTAAACGCCGATCGCCACGGAACCTTTCGGATGCGCCGTTCTTCCTCTGAGCTACAGTATTTGCAACCTTGTCGGGGGGTAGGCTAACTCTGAAGACAGAGAGAGGTGTAGTCGCAACGCGTGAGCTTGTTCCTTTCTTCGTGAGCGGTGTGTGTTTGTGTCGTTTGTCGTGTGTCGGGAGTATCTCGGGGAGTGTAGGCCAACCAGCAACTGTTCCAAAAAAGATAGATGCGAGCAAGATAGAATTGGAGCTTTTCTGCGGTCTTTGGGGGCGATTCGGAAAAGCGAAAGATTAAATTCCAAAAGATCCAGCGGTCCTCGGCGCTCGGGTGGATAAAAAACAGCCACACTCAAATCTACAATCCACAGTACATCTCCAACTAACTGTTGAAATTCATAAAACTTCAAAAAACTGTAGTGCGTGTACATGTACATACTGTAGTCTATATTCAAGTCGCCGAAGAAAAAAGCAGCGGAGTACTTTCTAAAAACAGCAAGTTGTCAATGTCGGGAAAAATCGTGCGTCGAGACCACCACCAGTAGTCGGGCACGGTTTGACCATTGAATACGATTGCAGGAGCTAGTCTGCGTAGCAGTAGAAAATAATATATCTCTGCGTTGCATGAACTCTCTTGTTCTAGAAATATTCCGGAAGCATGCTTAGTCAAGGTTGACCGGGACATCTACTACGTAGAACGTGTGTAGCTTCTGGAAACCTTCTGGAATCCTCTGGAACCTTCTGCAAGCTTCCGGAAGCAAGCGTCATAGACCTAGGTTGCATTTGATACTCTTCTAGAACTAAGGAGGGCTTCCAGAATCATTCTGGAAGCATTCTAGATCTTGCGTGTGATAGGCTTATTTGTCCGGTATTCGAGGAGAGTGGTGCAGCCCTAAGCTCGCCACCCCTCTCACTCTCTTCAGTACCAGCAACATCAATCTGACTCGGGGGTCAGCAAATATAAAAAAAAAAAAAACATTTTTCCATTCCAGGTCTCTCGCGGTTGGAGCCGCGCAGAGTTTGAACCTCTGAGGTAGGCTACACAGCCTCTTGCCATCTGCAGCATCGTACTGCTGCTAGTGCACAGCGAAATTACGCTGACAGTCAAACGACACTGCGCCATGTTCCCTGTGAAGGCCACATTCCACATAAAATTAAGATGTATCCGCCTACACAGATGTTTTTGTTCTTAGATCCAACTGGCATTACTGATAACTCAGTGTTAGGCTTACACAAACTCAAAGTAAGCCAAGTCTCCAGTTGGTTTCAATCCACTTACTGAAAAGTCTTCACCACATCCCTGTCGACTGAGGTTATATCTCGAACGGGTAGTGTTTCTGTGAGGTTATTTTTACTTTCTAACAAGATCGAAATCAAATCGAATTCCGGTGTTCGCAAACAAACTCCGTATTTCGGGTAAGCACAACCATCTCGACCTCTCTTTCGTTTTCTGTTTGCTCAAGAATTCTGGATTATTTTTCTGCAGGCAACAAAGAAAAACCAAGATACAAAACAACAAAAACAGAGCATAGAAAAAGCGCCTTCTTCTTGCTCCCAACGTTTCTCATCGAACTAACCCGTTAGTAACCTGCCTAGTTTGCCCTACTATTCATCTTTTAGTTTTTCGGTCTCTGGTCTAAAAAGATCTTGGGGAAACGACACAACAGGGTATACCCTGGTCGAAAAGCGACACGCCTTCGGGTGAAGGAGCGGGGGGCCGGCAGAAAATAAAATCTACCCACATACCTGCCGGGCGGAGGATGAAGCCCCGCCGCCAGCGGAGCTCCCTGTGGCCTTCTTTCTCGCGGCTGTCGACCCCTCCGCACCACATTCGCTGTCGCTGCTGTCTTCACCGTCTCCCTCTTCCACCTCGTCGTCGTCCTCCTCGTCCGATGTCTGTCTCCAAAGGTTCCCCGATTAAATGAAAAAAGAAGATTGACAGCCGACGGAATAACAAGGGGGGGGGGGCAGCGTACAGCAAGGATAAAATCGAAGCAAGCTTGACAAAGCTAAAAAGAATAAATAACAGCAGCAGCAGGGAGTAACACTTACGAACACGTCCCACTCCAAGGATACCGATGTATTTGAGGGCACCTTTCGCCGCAAAGGCAACTATGTTATTAGAAAACAAGCAATGAGTGTCCTTTAAGCGGGTACGGTGTTTGCAGGTGTATGTACCAAGGGCAACGGTGGTGATGGAGATAAGCATATGCTCGGGACGTCTCTAGGGTGATGACGTCACCAGGGTGACGACGTCACTTGGGTAATGAGGTCACCTGGGGGAGAAGGAACGGCGCCACGGTCGCGTG